TTTCAAAACCCGCCGGTTGATTTTGCGGGTTGTTCCTTTGGATTTCTATTGACAAGCCGTACCAGCCAAGCGAAGACAAACCCATGTGGGCTAGTCTGTACCCTCTGGTTGGCCTTGGACGAACAAAAGAAAACCAGAATCTTGCTACCATGTTGTTGGGTCCCCCCGAAGTGAGATTGAGGGTTGCAATGAGGGTCAGTTTTAGGATGTCCCTTTCTTTCAGGACCAGTTTTAGGTCCGAATGTCCTGTTGAGCGCACAAAACGAACCTCCGGTGGGCGACCAATTCGTCAGGCGAAACGCCTTGTACTGAGACTTTTCGATCTCGGAGGCCTGCATAAGGATCTTCTGGGCCTAGCTTCAGAGAGGCAAACACACCCGGAGAGCGGTGGCTCAAGATTAAACAGCTCAGGTTACGCAGGCCTTTGTCTTGGCTCCTATTTACTATTAGTCCTTGTGCCCATTTACCAGCTGCCATTTTGGGTACCATTTGTTGAGCCACAGCCACATCGGCTGCTCGACTGGAATTGTTACCGCGTGTTGCGTTTAGTCGCACCCCTTCACGTTGAAGACCAAACGGGGCTCGGTGTTGTTAGGTGTGTTTTGAGGGGAGGGGGCTTGCCCAGATTCGCGTGACCTAACTCAGACAGGTTAAGCCACAGGTTAAGCCCGAAATCCACCATGCAAAATATGAAGCTGCAAAACACATGTGACTGCCTGCCGTAGTGGCATAGCATCTCCTGGGTTGCGGTTGGTGAACTTGATTGCCAAACTGGTTGGATTCAGGTTTGCAAGGTTCCTATGAAGGGCCTCCCGGCCTTGTCCCAGGCCCTTTTGATCCCGAGGGGCTTCGGCGACCCGTGACCCCTTGACAACCATAGTAGGAAAGTGCGTGATTCAGATAGGTTATTTCTGATTGCTTATGTCCTAATCCCGGTTCGTTCCAATCATTGAGGTCGTAGATTAAGTTCGTATAGCCACGGTCAACAGAACAAATGCTTACCATCAGTCACTCTCGACATAGGATTCGTATATCGGATCCTGGACATAACTTGTTCGGCTTGCGATGTGGCGTTCTCTGGCGAAACTTTCTCAACTTCGGTCGTTTTAGGAACGAAGATCCGCCGCCTGGGTGACGCATAATAATGCTTCACCAACCGCGACTTTAGTGCTCGGCGTGAGCAGAACACTCCAGGAACCAGGCGATACTATCCATAGAAACTTTCATCATACAGTTGGCACGCTAGCTAAAGCCACGCGAAGTTGATCGCTTTCCTGGAGCGGGATCCCCAATAGGGAAATGAGAGCTCGTGTAACCTATAGATCGGTGAGCTCTTATCATTTGCCTAGCATCGGGGTTGCTCCAAAGACCCTGGCAGGGTTGAAATGTTGGTAAAAGGAAACCAAACAATACCAAATGTTTCATGCAGGTCCCTCAACACGGGATTGACGGAAGTTCCAACAGGCATGTATCCTGCCATGTGCCTAAATAGCAACAACCAGTGAAGCGCGTTGGATCACCCGTGTGGGGCCACCTGGCTTGGAGCACAGGAATGAACCCAGAAAAACCTCGTCGCATCGAGGAACGGACCTTCTTCTGGACCCTCTCGTCCTCGCGACAAACCCGTGGCCCAAACCCAGGCTACACCAAAGAACGTGTTCAGACTCTGCTTCACATTGAGTCAACCATACATTTTTTTGAGACCCAAGTGGGAAGCGCAAGGGAACCCAAAACAATCTGCCCAAGGATGAACCCTCCCAGTGAGCAAGAGGAGCCTCAATTTGCTGGCCCGCGCTTCCGCAGTAGGGGCAAAACAGCGGGTCTGCAACACACGCAATAACAACATCCATTGTTTCCTTTCGGGAAAATAGACACGATCTGATAGAGCATGACATTTCATCGTCCAATGTCTACAATCGTACAATGCTATTCGACTCTCCTGGAGGATCATCTCAACCTCCAGTCAGAGCAACGTGTCTAGCCTTTCAGGCCTTTCACCGGCAATGCCAGCGTGAATCTCATGTCTCCTCCAGCTCCGTCTCATTTTTCTGAAGATGCTTCGCCTTGTGCTTCTGCTTCTTCTTTTTGGCCTTTCGGTCGAGCGCTGGCGAAAACGCGCCATGTTCAAAGCATTTGAACCGGGAGCTACGATGCCCCAATCGCCAGCGTGACATACCTAGATATTCCCCACCCTCAAAACACATCACAATATCAACAGGAAACAAAGTACGTGCGTTGTAGTATTGTGCAATGATTTTTGTCTATCTGGAACCTGTGCCCCAAGATGCACATGTCACAACTGGGCTTCGGTCGCAGCCTTCCCTTACTGTATCCTTTCCCTGTTTCGTCCTGCATGCGGGGGTCATGTGTCTAAGAAGTATACTCTTACATGGTCGGACCCCCACGATCCACGCGTGGGCTTGCAACAAGAGTCACCAAGCAGCTGGACATGTAACACAACGTGGCAGAGGCAAACAAGCGCTGAACATTATCGTGTTGTGATTCCTTCTAAATACTTTCTTACATGTAGCCGCATCAAAAGACTGGGCATTTGCAATACACATACTGTCAGGTACCAAATGGACAATGGCTTGTAGTTGATGTGGATCTGCTTAGGAAATAAGCTGGTACACTCTGTTGTGCTTTAAGCCTCGAGCGGCCAAATGCTGAGGGTCCCTAAATATTGCACCTCAAAAGCAAGTGGCGACTGCCCTCAGCAAACACTGAGTGGCTGTCATTTTTGGGGGGTACCCCTATGTTGTGACAAACCACCGTTTTGGCGACATTGCTGTAAGGAATGATGCATGTAGCTGCGTATTTCTTGCAGATGTGTTGGCCGTGTGAGACATAATGCTAGCCCGTTTCTAGCAGTCTAGCATGAGTTCAGCCATGACACATTCAGATATGTTGCATGTCTCGACAACTATTGCAGAACCTCCAACAAACCCTGGGAGAGGTGCATGTCCAAATCTTGCTTTTTCGTTTTTTGTGCTAGACAAAAGGTCATGATAGTTGATTGGTATCCGAGCATCTTCCACAGGCTTCCGCGGCCCGGTGTTTTGCTTCCGCGCAAATATTTTGCTTCCGCGGCTTCTGCGCAAGGTGAATGCGCGTCTGGGCTGTGTTGGTGTACATGCAAAGTTCCCGCACAACAATTTGTGCTGCTGAAAGCCTGTCGTTTCTGGCACGCAGCAGCTCGGGCTTGGGCGAGTGGACGTTCCGTACTTTCTTGACAGCACTTCATAATTTTATTGCGACCTCGCAAAGAAGGATGGAAATGTGAAGCTAGCACCCATGATGACTGGAGGGTCGGATTCTTCAGACTTGCCCCTTTTCAAGCGGCGTTTTGGGGGGCAACTGGGGTGCAATAAAGAACAAGATTTGCTTGGCCCAAAGAAATTGGCTCGCAAGTTCTGGGTTTCTTATTTTCCTCCGAGTACATCGTGTTTATTCTTCATGTTGTTCGCCGCTCACTTGTAAAGACTGCGAGTGAGTCAGGCTGGTCCTGCACATGTTTTCTTCGGCCAAAAGAAATGTTTTTAATGTTTGTCGTGTTTTGTTGCAGGGGGATCGGACATGTGCAGCTAGCACCCATGATCAAAGGGCTGGAGCGCCTGGTGCCTGGAGATGATTCTCAAGTCTGACATTGGCACAGGTGCAAGTGCTCAATTCTTCAATGGTTTGCTTTTGGTGTGCCTTTTCAAGCGGCTTTTTGGGGCGCGCTGGGGTGCAATACGCAACACGATTTGTTGGCCCAACCAAGTTGCGGGGTTGCCAAAACATACTGTTTCTATTCTTCATTTTGTTAATGCAAAATGCAGACCAGAACTGCCGCGGAACAAGCTTGCAATATGCTCCGCAGAAGCTTTTGCAAGGATCTGCGTCCTGAGCCAATCCTTCCGCAGAATCCCATTTTGGCACCCCAAGACTAGGTATCCTCGAGGATTTTTGATCGCCGCTCATCTGATTTTGCCGCCAACACCCCTCGTGTATGTCGCTGTAAATTTGCTTGCGGACCCCCCCCCCAGGGATCAGCGCTCGGGAACAGCAATGCCGAAAGACTAGCGTGTTTGCGAGGGTACCCTTTTCAACAAGGACAACCACCATTCTTTGGGGTGTCCTGCTTTGAAACATCCCCACATAATTCGGATTGTTTGAGTAGTCCAAGACATCCGTGCTAATCCGATCCACAACAGACAAGGACAATGCTCGTTGCTTGGGTCCCTGCTCACGTGGCAAACATGTGATGCTACTTCGGGGGCTCGCGTGCTTATGACGAGTGTCAATCCCGCACAAATCGCTCTAAGAACTTGATCACTACTTGAAGAGACTCTAACCAGCGAGCAGCCTTTCGGTTTCAAGCTATGCTCAACGCAACAGAAGTCTGCTTCACCCCTCAAGGCTGTCAAGGCCTGCAAAGCACATGCCCCCAGCAAGCCACGCTCGTTTGTCCGCATGTCAGCTTTCATCTGAAAGCACCGGAACAAATAGCTCGCCAAATGTTTCTTCAAACAGGGGACCCTTTGAATGTTGTTTGAAAGGAAAGCAGGTCCACTGCATAAAGAATACACTTTGGAGCAAGGACAAAAGTGCCGTGCCTTAGTGCACGGGCACTACGCGTGATGAGCACTTGAGCGCTTGCATCATGCCGAATTGGGTTGCAGTCTTGAGCTAAGGGTTGTGCTATCAGATGGCTTTCCATCTGCACCGCAGACAACCCTTCCAAAATCGATGGGCCACTAAGCCAAATGCAAAAGGAATTTGCATTGGATGAGCATCTCGCTGTTTCACAACGGCAACTGCAAAGGTACGTTGGATCACTCTGCAGGCTGTCGCGTGGGAATGACCCTGTCGCCTGGAATCAAGTGCTATTCCCAAATGCAACACGGTCCTCTACAAAGGGCCAGGCCTCACAAAATCTCCGTTTCCAATCCGTATGCATGTCAACACTCTGGAATTCCAGGCTGCACTAGTATAGATGTCCGATCTGAGCATATCGCTCACTCGCCCATGACCAAGGCGTTGCTGAACCTTGCCCATTGGCCGAGGCCGGGGGCTGTGGCCTTTGGAGAAAGGGACCCCTTTTTGTAGAATGAACTTCAAGTGCCAACAGCACTTCAAAAAGAGGTTGAAACGGGGCCGGCATTGGTGACAACATGGGGAATGCTTGAAGCTGAATTGGTAACTTGGGCCAAAGTTGAAAGGGCTGAGTTAAAAGGGACAAAGTTGAATTTATTGGCGGGCAAATGAACAGTGTGGGCCATTCAGTACCCGGCAAGACAAGCAACTCACTTGAACAAAAGCCTTGAGCTACAGACTGGCGAAATCTTGTTTAACCTTGAGTAAAACTAGATCACAGCAAAGCAACAAACCAACAAACCAAAAAGCTCAGCTTCAAGCAAACAAGAGAACAGGTGGTGTGATATTTCCGAACCCAACATTGCGCCGTGGGGAAATCTGTGCTATTGCCTAGGTGTCCTTTTAGTAGTTCAACCCAAAGGGACCTAAAAGGACACCTGCCATTCCCTGGACATCAGAACCTTGAGTAAACCTGGACAAGAGAAAATCACACCCTGGATAAAACGGGTCAACTTTGGACCTGCGTGAGAACATGTGCCTTTTTCAGTTCCGACGACCACGTCGCAAGGGCGGAACTGTGGTTCCTGCAGGACATCCAAAGGACCCTTGCGACCTGATCCTCTTTTACAGGCTCGGAACACGCCTGGTCGGGTTTCATTGGCTTCAGAACCACCTTCTGGGCCCTGGCACTTCTTGAGATACTACTTCAGGGGATATTGATGATTCATTCTGGTCCAAGTTGGGCCACGGAGTTTCATAGAAAGCACCCGCAAAAAGGGCAAATGGACATATGTCATGTCAAGGTCCCGCAATGTGAAACCCAGTTAAGGGACACAATATATCGTGATCCCCCAAATGCAAAACAAAGCACATCAAATCCAGCTTTGCTAGGGCATTGAAACTCACCCACTTAGTGATCATGCAAACAAAAGCACGCACACGCACACAAACCAACACACACACACACACCCTATAGTTAAGCTGGGGAACCCACGACAACTTGGCGAACCTGGCGAAAAATGGAGAAAAAAAGAAGCACTTGGCGCAAGCGCGGCACTTCTTGAGGTGGGGGATGATGGAGCCCATGATGGCTGAGGTCACCACCAGCCTCGCCGCTCCTGGCGCCCAGCCCGCCAGCAGACGCGAGGGGCCCTTCGCCACCATCTCCTCGCGGGCAGGTTTCCCCGTTTCGGGGGCCAAAAGACGAGGTCGAACGAGGTCAAGGAAAGTCAATTCAAGGGTCTGGACAAATCAAGTTGTTCTTGATAAAAATCAATAGAGGGCCTGAACAAAATGAAAATGCAGAGATCCATCCCATGTTGGTTTTCTTTTTGGATTTCTTTTTGACACCGAATAGGATACAGAACCCAGCAAAACGAGGGTCCCATTTTCCCATATTGAACAGATCCAAAAGGATGAGACCTGGTTCCACAGGCACGCAAACACACAGCAACGTAGGCATGCAAATGCAAATAACGTGTCACAGACTATGTCGCAAGGCTTTAGGCAGCAACCACCAAGCGCCACACAAAAGCTGATAGCCAACAAGGATGGCCGAGAAAACCGATTCCTTCTTTGGGGGGGGGGGGAGGTGGGTCCAGTGTGTCCAAAAGCCCTCATATCTGATTTGCCCAAAATACCATTCCTGAACAGGGTACCACAATACCACCGATGTCAATGCTTCCCGGAGAGATCCGTTGGCCTTCTTTTTGGACAACAACGGTGAACAATGTGAATAGGGCACAAGTAATCTGACTCTTACAAGGTGAACCAGCATCTGGCATAATAATTTTAGGGTTGTTTCTGGATCCAGGAAAAGGATCTACCGGCCAGGATGTACACATTTCGAAGGGTCTTGTGCAAGCTGGTCCATGGTCACGAGTCCAGGGGGTCAACACAGGGGGGATGCGTGAAACAAGATCTTCGGACTCGCCCACTGGCTGGAAGAAATCCATTGCCAGGAATCCCTGATACCAGGTGGCCTGAAAGTCGTCCTTTTGAACATGGCCCCAAGACTTTGATTACAAAAGAAGTTCCAAGCTCTTCCTGACAGGATCATAGAAGCTGATAGGACCCTTTCATTATCGCATCTGTCACGAGGGTCCATCACCAAGCAGGTCAATATCTTCTGAATTCATCCCTCCAGCTGGGAGGGAATAATCTATAATTCCTGTCTTCTTTTGGGGGGAATGAAAGACTCCTGATCAGTATGGTCCTCCGGATTGTCCAAAGACATGGCCGTTCCAAGTCACCCTTTTTGCTGTACCCGCATGACTTCTATGGCTTCTGCTGTCTCCTTGGAGGCGATTCCACCCCCCTTTGTGCTTCCAAAAGGCGTCTCCGAAGCTTTTTCGCCTTAACGCCTTTCCATCGTCCACAAAAAAAACGCCTGCGCGGCGCGCGACAATTCCCCGCGTCCTCCCAGAACGGCACGTGGTGTTGCCTCGCGGCGCGGAGCATCTCCATGGGATAGCTCACAAAAGACCCGACGATACCTCGCACCGGGCTCGCCGGGCTCGGGTGAGGGCAAAAGACAGGGGCCCGTTGGCGTGGAAGAAAAGAAACGGTTTGCCAAGAAAGATGGGAGGCGATGCCGTTGAGCCATTCAAGATGTGTGGAGGGAACCCCTGCTAAATTGACAGAAGGCACCTAAAGGAGGCTCCATTTCCCAAGAGGAGATGCCTCGGAAGATGAGGCTCTCTGGGTTCCATGTTTAAAGTCAAGAGGAAGAGGAGTGGCTGTGAGAATGCAACGTTTGAAGGGTTCAAGGTCCAGACAGGTTCAAACGGAGGCACCCCTGCATTAGCAATCTGTTGATTTACAATATCAATCGAAGCGGATGAGATCACGTCAACATTCACCGGCCAGAGCAACCGAAAAATCAATCAGACTTTCCGCCTCGAACAGTTGGCCTTGCTGTCGATCTTCTGATGCCAAGCTAAACAAAAGACATGTCAGCAGCTGCATGGAAGGAGGAATTTATAGTATATACGACACTAGCTTCAAACGCCTAGGCTTTGGTCCCTTTGACATTCATGCTGACCCCTACTAAGAAATGAACCTGAGTTGCTCAGCAGCTGCTTGGGAAGGGGTTCCTTTCTTTCAGGGGGCTCCTGAGGAACACACGACCTGCCTTCAGAAAGGTTCTATGGCAACCTGTGAGGGAAACACCCCCCTCCGCAAACAGCTTCCTTTAGTCTTGGGCGAGCGAGGATGCACGATTTATGAAATGCGAGGTAAAAGTGAACTGGCAATCCAGCTAGGCAAATTACTGGGTGAGCCTATTTTATTTGGTTCCAGCAAATGGATACAAATGGGATGTCACATGATTGCAACCCGCCTAACAGACCCCGGTCAACGGGTCCCCTGAAAACAAACAGTGCCACTGAACAGGGCCAACTATGCAAGCGGCGTCCTCCTTTTCAGGGTACCTGTACCCCTCTCTTAGCTTCGAAGAGAAAGCAAGCAAGAGGGCGACCAGGACAAAAACAACTGAACAACTGGCGAACCCACCAAACAAGGGAATCCAAAAGTGGCATCCCAGTTGGGGGAAATACCGAACGTGGGCTTGTTATGGCTATTTCCCACAGTTCCCCCATATTTACCATATTCACCTCGTCTGCTTTAGAAATACATGCAGCCTGTTCTTGGGCAATTCCTGGCCATTTACATGCACGTTGTATGGGAAATACAATTACCCATGGCAACTCCCCTGCTATTACCATCCAGACCACCCAAAGAGAAATTGTTGCGGGCGACGTGTAGCTATTTACCTGGATTTCTATGGGCTGTCTGTTTAAACTATATTTACCATATTCACCCCATATTTACCAATCCCATCTATGACATATAGTCCATGTTCATTCCATACGCTTCAATCACTTGAAATCCGAGATGCCGCCGCAGGCTCCCGCCATCATGTGCCTCGGGCCATCCGCCAGGTCGAGGCCGGAGCTCGCGATGGCGCGCTCCGCGAATTTGTAGCCGCCCACCATGCCGCCGTTGCAGATCCTGGGGGGGGGTGAGGGGGGTGGGGGGGTTGGGGGGGAGGGCAGGAGGGCAGATCCTGGGCCAAAACTCATCAGGTTCAAACCCCAAGCCGAACCAAGGATTCTCGGTTCCCTGCTAAAAGTTTAACTTCAGTGGTTTAATGGAAAACCCATTAGTTGGCAAAAAGTTAAAGTCCTGACATCCAAGCAAAATGCAACAAAGGATTGTCTCGAATCCCAACTTTCAACTGAGGGCCATCATCTCTGATATGGGGTTGTCTCATAGGGAAACCATCAACATCCCTTTTGAATATCAAACCAACCCAAAACTGGGCTCCCTAAAAAAGAAGACACGAAGCCGAAACTCATGTCCATGGCTACGCGTTCTAAGAGCTGGAACCTCAGAAGTGGTTAGACATCAATCCCCGCTGCATGTTGTCCATCAATGGGTCCCTATTTGAAATCCATGCCTGTATGGCGATTATTTCCAACATGGGCTTGTCTCTAAACAGGAATCGGAACCGTCAAAATGGGTGCTTTCCTGGTGGTTTCCCGTCTAAACAACTGAAAAAGGACTCACAATCCCTATGAAAGAAACCTTCATGGGGCACCTGACCCCTGTGCCCTGTGCCCTCCTCCCTGAGGTGTGCGGGTGGCGGGGGGGTCGTACTGTTGATGGAATCCTGCGTCTATGGCCCTTGGTGTAAAGCTCTAGAGATGGCGGGATAAACCGCCTTCCAACCGGTGAAGGCCTACACGTTACTCTTTTGGTGTGCTGGGAACTGCCGAGCATGGACGTTCTACGCACCCAAGAGGTCACATAGGCCCTCATTACGATCTCAACCAGGGAGCAGCGAGGTTCTAAAAGATAAATGGGCCCTCATCATAACCTCACTTCCTAAGTGGATTGGCCAAAAAAGTCTAAACTTCTTGTTTACACCTAGACATGGCTTCCCAAAAAGCTTGAAGTCCCAGCAATTCGGAAAGTGAGTAACCCTAATCCGTTCAGCAAGTATGAAGTAGATAAATGGGCCCTTATCAGCCAGTAGACTGGTCATACTCCCTGCTTTGAACAGTTAATACCTACTGAGTCAAGTGATTCGCTGGCCCAGTTCGAACCTGGAAATTTAACTTGCCATCTGGAACGACAGGGGAACAACAACCATTCAACAATTTGGGGAAGAAGAGCAAGCACAAGACGGAAGCACAAGACCTCTCAGTTGCGTCGCTGGGTTCTCTACTGTTGTTGCCCAAATGGTGGTTATGAAATTCACAAAGGCAAAGTTGCCTGGCAAAAAAGGGAGCCCCTTTGTGGGGTCGCTTCCATTTCTGGGTGCCCAGTAGTTGAAGGGGCGCCGCTGCAAAAAAACGGCGTTAAGGCATCCCAGCCGCGTGTTGCGGAAGAAGATGGCGCCGGTTCCCTTCCAGAACGCCCTCACGCCCTCAGTGCGGTAGATGGTCTGGACGGCATCCAGGGTGCCGCTGTAGCCCCACTCTGGTCGCTGCATCCTTGCAACGCAAACGCCCGAAGGAACAAATACAACAACGTTGCGACTCACAAAGGCCAGGATTGCTCTCAGGATGCTGTAAGCCGCATGCAACGCAGGGTTCCCAAAAGCTTCTTCTGGCCTAGTTTTGACAGTGACCATCCATTGGCATGCAATGACTGAAACCGCCCTAGTCGTTGCTTCACGCCGTAGCGAGCAAGGAACATAGGTTGAAAACCAGTCCGCGCAGACACATCTACAAATGCAGGAAGCTGATCCGTCATTAGCCTGCAAGTGAACCGCTTATTGCAATCAACCCGTAGCATAGAACATATCAGAATCACTCGCTGATATATGTTCATATGACAACAGCTTGGCGTATCTGCAATGTAGAATGGTTGAGCGAAAACAATTGCAAAGCCACCGGGGTTACCCGTTTTTGAAAAACACCAAATACACCTCCTCCCCAGGCACCCTTTTCGCCTTGGTTTAACGTACTGCCAAAAGTCCAACCCTCCCATTTTGGGGGTCCAAAGGGGTCCACATCCCTATTTTGAAACCCACGTCCCGTCCTGAACTTGACAAAGTTGATGGGGTTCACCAGCACCACTTCGGAGGCGCCCGTGGCCATGCCGATCATAGTGGCAGTCTTCCCGTCGGCTTTGGACATGTCCCCGTGCGGGGCGAAGGTGTTGATGTAGAGATTCAGGATGGAGTAGTGGATTACCTATGCGGTGCTCCAACATTGGCTGGCCGTGGTTTCCGGCAGAGAGCTCTTCTTATTTTTTTCGCGGGGGGTATCTTCATGTATCTTCTATGCATCGGGGCGGAAATAGAGAATGGAACCATCGCTGGGTGAGTACCAAGGAATACTTAACACATGGTGGTTGATCTAAATTCCTTTGTCTCGAAACGGCCATTCTTCGCGAATAAAAAAGTTACTTTCGCGAATCTTTCGCGGATTCATCGCCGTGCTCTTTTCATTTCTCGAGTCAGAGAATCGCAGCTTTTAAGTGCCAGCGTTGTGAGCGAAATGACGATTTCCCAACTCGGAAAGTCGCAGCTTTTCGTTCGCCGTGCAGCTCCAGCTTGAAGTCGCAGCTTTCCAGTACCAAGCTAGTATACTGACTAGATCGGCGTTCAGACTATACCTCCCCTTGCAATCGAAGCCTGCGCTTTCGCGCGGGCTTTCGCAGATCTTTCGCGGAACTTTCGCGAAAAATCACCCACGTTTCAGAGCGGAAAGCCACCGACTAACACCCACAGATACACATACACAGGCTTGGAGCACTAACCAGCCAAGCAGGGTATCAAACTGTAGCCTCGCCAGGCTTTATCAGCGCAACATCAACAAAGTGTTTTAATCAGAATACCCAACCAGTCCAAGGCCTCGTTTTCCATGTCCTTTCATAAAGTGCTGGCTTAGCTTGTCCTCGTGCTTAGTTTACTCGCTTGGCCTGCTGAGCCATTCAGGCTGAATAAGCTGGAAGAGAATCGGTTTACAGTCATTGAGGGCAAACACATGTTTGATAGGCTAGTTTGCATAAAACAACTTACAATCACCCTCTCAACCGGCCATGTTTTCCTGATTCTGGGCCTCCATGATGATGGCAACTATCTGCCGCAATCTTAGATTGGCAGCAATGTGCCGAATAATTCATTATGTTTAATTGCCTCTTGTTCTGTTCTCAGGATGGGATGTGGCAATGCTTCGCGGCAATCGAGCCCTTCGACAGCGCAGGGTGCCTACAGTGCACACTGGGTGGCAAAGGGCGGGGAGCCAGGGGGGGGCAGGGGGGGGGGCGGGAGGGGGAGGTAGGGTTTTGACTTTCTTGCATTCCAAGGCTGGAGCGATAGCACCTGCCACAGCGACTATGAAGAGCCTACAGGGGTCCGAGGAAGTGCGCCCGTTGAATGCAACTGCAGTTCTTGGCATAGCATGAACTCCAAACTTCTGCAGGGTGTTGGATAAACATGCAAAGCCAAGGGCAAGCGAAATCTACATGTTGACCCTGAGCGTTCTTGAGCCCTACGGCCAGCTAAACATTGACTAGTGAACAAAAGTTTGAACATCAAGTATGTTTACACACCTACCGGTGGGACATAGCTAGATGGGCCTGATGCGTTCACTTGTTTGTTGGTGCGGCTGCTGCGCGTCTGCCGCCATGCCGACCAGCAAGCCAGATCCTGGCCGGACGAGTCTTCTCGAGGACTGCAACAACTCCCAGCATTCTAGATGTCTCGTTGCCCCATCAGGAATTTTACGCCGACATCCTCACACCAGAATATATACTGGAGCGCACCGCCAAAGCCAATGCCCGAAGAAAGAAGAAAGGTAAAGAGGCACCCGGTGCATTAAACAAGTTGCTCATTGTTTTTCCCGTTGTTGGCAGGGGAATTCGAGCTTCGCTTTTCTTGACATTTGCGGGCCTCGCATTGATGAGAAGCAGGCAGGATGACAATCTAGCGTCAGTGTGTCTGATCAGCGCGCATGGCCAGGTGACAAAGACCCACAACAATTTTATGTTTGTGCTCGAGTATGTCTCAAGCTTTGCAGGGAATTTGCCCACATGTAAAGAGGTCAAGGCAGGGTGTTTGTGAATGGCCTTTGTGTGTGTGTGTTGCAATGCTTGCAGGCTGCCCTCAAGAAGATGAGCCTCAAACACCGTCTCAACCCTTTTACTTCTGGTTCCAAGATGGAGGCCTTTGAGCTTGAACAAGTAGGATCCTAGTTCAGCATTGTAAACCTGCAGGCGTGGTTGGACTCTGAAGCCAAGCTACACCGTGGAGCAGCAGCCTATGTTTGTTTCCGCACAACTCGAAACCCTGGAGTCCGGACAGGGTTTTCCATCCCCCCATTCTATGTGATCATGCCCCCCTCTGCGCAGGAGGGGCCACGAACTCATGGAGCAGCTCAAGGCTGCTGCTCGCCAGGCGATGCAGGACACATGCGTTCTACTGATCTTAGGGTATACCCATCGAATGCCTGATCAGGACCGAGCTGAACTTGAAACAGAAGATGATCCGTCCCAACCAGTGGGGCACCTGGATTAAACTTGTACACTTGCCCCATCAAATCAATTGATTACATTCACATGCTGTTCGGCATTCAAATGCCTCCATGTCCTCACTAAGGTCAAGCCAGATCCTGGGCATGACCAAGACTATGATGATGCGTGTTGCGCCCAGCAAATGGAATGCGCTGAAGAAGAGATTCATACTGATGATGAGTGTGTTAACGGTGAGCCTGAGGGTCAGGCGATCAGCCATGGCCAAGAATCCAACAGGATTTGCTCAGGACGCCCAGGCAAGCTGAGGCGTCAAAGAAACCCCTGAATGATAAACAGGAAGGCTCTCCGCAGGTTAAGCTGGATGAACCAGAGCACGAGGATGAGAAGAATAAAAGACTTGTCAAGGGGACCTTCAAGGACCGCTTTCTATCTACTAGTTGAGTGCTTAAAGCAAGAATATAGGCACTTGCAAAACAACATGCCAGTTGACGAACATCAGGACCGTAAGCCCTTGATCAAGACACCCGAGACCCTGCCGGCTGCTGCAGCTGAAGCTGTGAAGCGCCTGTCCACCGAAGCGGAGTGCAACGAAGACCTTCTTCAGGCTGGTATGCTTGGCACAGAGGGCTCGCGTGGGCATGCAGTTCAGCCGTTCAGGCCCAACGAGTCCTTCGAAAAGCGGCCCGTGCCGGTGAGGATGAGCGAGGTGAGGAGTCATCTCAGGTTTCCTCTGATCTTGGAAAAAAGAAAAACAGAAAGGCGGCAGCAAACCAAAAAGCACCCCCGCAAAAGGTTCTGGAAAAGGAAGGGGGGGCGGCAGAGGAAAAGGCAAGGGAAGAGGCAGGGCAAGAGGAAGTGGCAAGGATGGGATCACTAGGCGTACCGTCGCCCACGAAACAAAGCAACATGCAAGTGCCAAGAAGCGCCCTGCTGCCAACATGCCCAACCCAAAGGAGGCCCAGCACTAAGATACCATCCGTGCACTATATTATTTCAGTTGTGGTTTAAGTGTTTGGGGCTAGCAACATGCAAATCCAATGTGCAGGAGCCATCAGCTAAGATTCCTAAGGCTAACCAGCTCAAGGATCTCCATCATCTGCAAACCATTGCCCAGAAAGAGGGCAGTATGCTTACTGTCCCCCAGAACGTCATTGACGGGAAAGAGTGCCTCGACCTGATAGCATGTTGGGTTCCACTTCGTCTTTGTTCTGGCCATCCATGAGCCTAAGGGAAAACGCCCAGGTCTTGGACACAGAAGGGGCTCGATGGGTCTTCGGCCAGCTTGGGGGTGGTGCCGCTTCCTCAATCGCCTTTCTTGAGAACATGACATGTGGGGCAGCTGTTTCAGTGTTGCAAGCGGTTGTCCTGTAGGCTTTACGCGCGGTCCTTTTACCTCTACATGGCTGACGAAAAGGCCGTCGATGACTACAACCAAGAACATGGAACCTCATTCAAGGTGGGGCACATTTACCTGTTCGCGCCAGGTCAATAAGAAATCCGGCCTCACGGTGGGCTGGCGAAGGTTCGACTGCCTCGAAGCCGCGCCAGGAGCTTACACGCTGTAATGCTCAATCCCTTTTCCAACAAGCTTGAATTGGTGCTGGCCAGGTGGAATGCTGCGAAAGAACTTGCAGGTTGGAACGATATTGACTGACCTGGTGATTTTATGCTTTCCTGCCGCTGGCTAATTCACCAGTGCGAGCCTGTTTGACTGAGCATCTCCACACAGGAAATAGCGTTTGCCCGTTGAGTGACTTGCACATGGCAATTGCAAATAAAAATTGGCAAATGATTGTTGCAGCTCCTGACTCACCAAGACCTTTGCCTAGCCTTTTTGCCTGGTCTCAAGCTAGAGGGATTCGACTCAGGCCTGTCAGCATGGCCAAGCCTAAGTGGATGTACTCACCACTCGCCCTGACCCAGAGCTCAGTGAAAGGCCTTTTGGCCTGCGGTTTCCCCTTGATTATGTCAGTGCCCCAGCCAGCTGCCAAAGAAATCGGTTCAACCATGCGTCCTGCAGCAGGTTGCACTATATCGATTACTTGGTTCAGCAGCATTACCTCAACTTCAGCGACCGTGCCTGGGCCTTACCGTCATCCCTTCAATTGATAGATATGTTTTGTATGGATGTCCCAGGACCTGAGCAACTACGACATGTTCGCAGGTCAGAAATCGATCTCAAAGGCGTTCAGTCCGACCCTCAAACACATGGCCTCACGATCGCCGCATTGCCATAAACAATGCCTGATGAGTCAATGTGTGAATAGCCATGCCTAGATGCTTTGGGGCACAACACGCGAGGGCCTTAGACTTTATTTTTTCTTTTTGCAGGCGGGCCCTCAAACCAGTGGTTCCTCTTGCCCAGGGAGTTCTGCGAGATCGAGGAGCGGCTGGAGGACGATGTCACCACATTGCCACAGTCTTAGTATCAACCTACTGGTTCAAGGTTTGAACAATATTGCCATTGCCAGGTGTGGCTTTGGCCGATCAATCCTACACGTCCTCAGGCTTAGAGAAGGAGGGCTATTAACAGCAGGCCTACCCTGCTCATCTTTCATTTTTCTAAGCCGCTCCACAACACAGCGCAGCAAAGCCCGTCCTTTGGGCAATTGCCGGGTCCTTGCTGTACACACAGCCAACTTGCCACCTGTTTGCATTTAGAACATTTGCCTTGCGTGCTGAAAAATAAGCAATTGCTTGTTTGTATCTAAGGCTT